GGGGGGGGGCTGGGAGGACCGGCCAGGTCAGTACAGGTGACGCAGGTGAATCAGCGCAGGTCTCCTTGAGGGCTCCCTGCTGCTACTATCATCAGCGTTATTCTGGGTCCTGTTTCCTCTCTGACTCTGCCCGTGACCGACTTCCATACATTAGTGAGTCACTCGAACACACGGAGATTCTCAAGAACCAGAGCATTAAATCAGAAAGGTCTGGGTTCGAATTCTGTTTCCACCATTTTTTCAGGCGAGGGAGCCTCTCTCTGGTCACCGAGCCCCAGGGGTGCCTTCTCACCTTCTCAGCCTCGAAACTACCCTCACTTAGTGTGGCTCCAGGAAACCAAAGTGAGCATTCAGAGTCTGTCCCTAACACGGCATCCTAATTTCTGAAAATAAAAACCCAGGTGCTCCCTCCTGGGCACGCGGCCCGTCGCTCTACGAACCCGGGCTTACCTGGCGCATCTCCTTGTAGTTGTGGTGCCTGAAGTCCAGGTCATCCGTGGTGGTCATCTCGCTCCGCCGGTGATAGTAGTTATTTGGATCTAGGGAGAGGAATACGGTTGTGAGTTCACTGGCATAGCCCTGTTACCCGTGTGGCTCCACTGGGCGCCTGTTCTCATGGGGGAACACAGCCCGATCTCCAGCTTCTAGCATTCCCACAGAGGTGAGAGAGACAACTTTCTAGAAGCTTCTATGAGTCAGAATTACCCAGTGATGGAGAATGTGGGCCCAGAGCCAGGATGCCTGGGCTCAAATCTCTGCCAATGTCCCAGCCCGGGAACCACACAGCAAGGTCACAACCACAGCAGCTGCCAGTTTGGCCCAAGTTTCTGGAAGGGCAATTCTGGAGGCAGGGCCATGGCAGGTACCAGCAGCAGTAAGTCCAGATTCATGCCACCAAATGTGGTCCACTGACCAGCGCCTTGTGGCTGCGTGTTAAACCCAGCCCAGGCCTACTGAATCAGAATCCACATTTTTAAAAAAATATATTTGTATTTATTTCAGAGAGGGGAAGAGAGAGGGAGAGAGAAAGAAACATCAGTGTGAGAGAGAAACATCGATTGGCTGCTTCACACATGCCCCCCGACCAGGGATCGAGCCTGAAACCCGGGCATGTGCCCTGACCAGGAATCGAACCGCTGACCTCTCAGTTAATGGGTCGACACTCAACCACTGAGCCATACTGGCCAGACAGAATCCACATTTTAAAAAAAACAGGTCACTCCACAGGCTGGGAAGTTTGAGGAGCACATGTTAGCACACTGAGCACTGCCAACAGGGGCCAGGCACTCGATGCCCAGCGCACACACGTGTGGTCACCTGAGCCAGCCCCGCCCCGTCCCCACAGCCGCAGGTCACGGCTGCCATATGGAGCTGGCCAGAGTTCACGTGAAGACTGGCTTCCCCCTGGAAATGGAGGCCTCAGGCATTGAGCTGAAAACCACAGACAGACCCAACAATAAAAAGACAGTTTTTCATATTCACAAAAGGTTTGCCAGTAATAGTATTAGATACAAATGCCTGTCATTAAAGAAAATCACGTGGGAGGGCCAGCTGGCATTGAGTCCAGGAAAGAAAGCAAAAGCGATTCAGTTTTAGCCAAAAGTCGCTTCCCGCCCCCGCCCCCACCCCTGTCACTCTTCCAGGCTTTCCTGCTGGGACCCAGGCGGGCCCGCCCTCAGGCAAACCGCCTTTCCTCTGATCCCCAAGCCTCCCTTTCAAAGCGAAGGTGCAGCGTATTTTTCATATTAATTTACATGTGACTTACAGACCTGCTGTGTTCTGAGAGCTGTTCCACCCTCCCAAGTCCCAGGGGCCTCCTTCCAAAACCCCTTAAAGCCCCCTTTGTATTCGAACGCAAGCTAGGCCTCCAAGGTTCTTAGAAGGGACTGAAAATCCCAGAGCTGGGTGTCCTCCCTGAGAGCTGGCTCGAGGCCGCGTCCTTCCAGCCTTAAGACAATCAATTCACCAGGGGACACGGGTACAAGTTTCAGAATTGTCTCGAAACCACAACTCTCTGCGCCCACGTTTTGAACACACTCTTCCTTACTGGTCCATTTTTCCTGATCTCTTCGAGTTTGGCCGGGAACCTATGGGGAGTCCCACACTCAGGTAAGGAGAGGAGCGGGGACTGCACCCAGTCGGTCCCGCAGGAGGGGGGGCCGTGCACAGCCTTTCCAGTGAGCTCTGCTGTGCTCAAAAAAACACTGGAGGTGTCCCCTTAGCCAAAGGAGCCTGAGCAAGGCTGTGTCACCTACCGGAGTCCTGTCTTGTCAACAGTCCAGGTCTGGGCTCAAATGAGTGACCAATCCCACAGGACGAGAGGGTGTCCACGCTGTGGGCTGACTTTGCAAATACAAGTAGAAAGTAGCAAAGCAAAGGGATGCATTTAAAAAGTCCTTGCAGCTGATGACCCCCTTCCTTCTCCCAACTGATACATACTGACGAGGGGCGGGGCTGGTTGAAACATTGTTACAGTTCAGCAACACAGGCAGTAGCCTTGCAAATAAAGTATTTTTTCAGTGGCTTCTGACTGGGAGGGGGTATGTTTTAGGAGAAAGGAGAGATGGCGCTTCAACTGGCATCGAGAGAGTCAGAAGAAGGAGCCGGGCACCACCCTGGGGCAGCTCCTCCTCCACATTTGGGGGAGAAAAAGCTCCTTCCCCAGACCTCTGTGGGGCTCCTCGAAAGGTCCTTCGAGTCCTTGCAGAGGGGGACAGTGGCTCAGACGTGGTGTCCAGGAACGTGATGTGGAAGAAGTCCCCAGAGAAATCGAAGTCACACATTCAGAACAGTAGCTGCTGAGCAGCCTGGGGGGCCCAAGCATCACTGTCCCCTGCCCAAAGGGCATTTCCCGTTTCTCAGGACCTGGACACAGTCCTGTCAACCCGTGAGGAAGCCGCGAGTGGTGCACAGGGCCCTTTGCAGAACCCGACGGTGCTGTTAGCAGTGGGAAAATACCTGTCAGCCACAGAGGCCGTGACCTTGAAGCCCACTGCCGTGTGTCCTAACCTGAGTTCTGTATTATTGAAATTTTATCTTAGGAAGCTCTCCCCAGCTTAGGATAAGTGTAGATTTTTTTTTTTTTTTTTTAATGTTTTTACTGATTTTAGGGAGAGAGGAAGGGAGAAGGAGAGAGACAGAAACATTGATGAGTGAGAAACATCGATCGGCTGCCTCCCGCACGCCCAGAAGACAAATGGCCCTAAATATCTGAGGATGGAAAATAGAACCATCCTGGTCCACACTTGAAACCCACCCGGATGTCATACTGTGCGTCTGTCTTCGTGAGGCTTAAACTGCCTCCAGGACCTGCTTCACACACACACACACACACACACACACCCCAAGGATAACTTCACAGGGAAACGTCATTTCACGCGACTCTCACGGCTGCCCTGTGGCTTCTCCCAACAACAGGTGAACTCCTGCCTGCAGAGGGAACCATGACCTCGCTCTTGGGAGTAAGCAGACCACACGGAGGCTGTGCTCAGCGACACGGAGACAAGGCCCCTGGCCTGGCACAAAGGGGGCCTCGCCGACACCCGTCCGCATCTGTGCCTCCACATGCTGTGCGCTCGGAAAAGCCCAGCAGGCTCTGGACAGCAGCAGGCGGGACCTGGGACTGCAATTCTAGGAGAATCAGTCACAGAAGGAGGCCCAGGTCCCACAGCAGGCGGGCCTCCAGCATTCTCCCTGGAGCGGCCTTGAAAACGCAAGGTGCCCTGAACCTGCGATCCTACTTTTCATAATCAAATTCAAGCAACAGTCCTCTAGCTGAATGGTCCTACGATTCACACAACAATCCCAGACATGCACAATGACAGAGACAATGGTGTTCACTGCGGGGTCCTTTCTAGAATCAAAATATCGAAACAACTGAACCCCCAACTCTAAAAGGCAAATCCAAAATGGGAGGTTCTGTCCGTGAACCAGGATAAAAGCATCCACAGGACAGATGGTCTCTCACAGTTCTCATGACATGAAGAAAGTTTTGCAATTAGTAAGTACAAATATATAAGGGTGTGTGGTGAGTGGGTGGGTAGACAGACCCATCTTCTCACCAGCACTGAGGCTGTGTTCTGAAAACGCACAGTTGGCGGAGCAAGATCGGGGATATTATGGGAACGAGACATGAGGAATCAGTGGCGTCAAATACGCAGTAAATCAAGGTCATGGTGGGGGTGGGACGCCTGCCGAGAGCGCGTCAGGGATCCAGCGGCGCCTGAGGACACGGGGCTGGTGGCGCCCTCCCCGGGCAGGGCCGGGGGGACTGGGAAACCGGAGGAAGGGAAGCCTGGCCTCACTGTTCCTTGTTCCCTGGGCCTGTCTGTGGGTGGACAGGCACCTGCGAATCCCCACAGGTCCTAGTGATGGGCCGTAGGGATGCCTGGGGGCCAGTGTCCTGGAGATGCCTGGTCAGGATGGAGAGGCCGCCGCCCACAGGCTCCATGTGGGCACAAACGCACACGCCCTGGAAGCCGGGTCGAGCCGGCCGGGGCCAGGCCAGATCAGCCACCCACGGGGGACACCAGCACCATCCAGGCGGCCTGTGAGAACGCGTGTCTTCCTGCCACCCGAGGTCACAGCCGGACCCATCATGTGAAAACAGGGCAGAGGTAACACAGCCGCCGGGAGGGCACATTCGCCCAAGGAGACGGGCACCTGAGTGAGGCTACTTAAACAGAAAGACACTGTGGGCGAGGTCAAGTTTAACACTAACCCCTAGGGCCCCTCTACCCGGTGCACCCAGGGATGTGAACTGGGTTCCTGCGGGGGGTGGCAGCGCCGAGAGAATCTTCAACCTTGAAACATGCGGCGCCCTCAAACGCCCGGGCGAGGCATGGCTGGCACCTTACCGCGCGGCCCGGCGCTCCCGGTGTTTCTGAGGGGGACGACGGGAGGTTCCTGTTTATTTGCTTTTTGCTTACCCGTGTTCCCTAAATGTTTTGCCCTAGATACACGTTTCTCTTGAGAAGAACCCCACTTGGTTTACTTCCCTTCGCCTCGGCCGGGCGCCCGCGGGCGGCGGGACAGGCTCACCTGGCAGCGGGCAGCCCAGGACCTCCAGCCTCAGGCAGATGCTCCCGTTGTCGAACCAGGACTGTGGGTTGATGCGGATGTAGCGGGCCACCATGGGCACCGGCAGCTCGTTGAGGACAGGGATCTCCTTTTCACTGTTTCCTTCGAATATCTACTCGCACGCAAGAGGAAAGGGAGACTCTTTCAGAGCTTGATTATCAAGAGACAAAAGAGAGTAACTCACCCATCGCACAGGTCCCGTTGAGGGTTCCAGGTGCGTGCTGGGCAGCGAGGGGAAGAAGACCCCCTCAGGCCAGGACCTGCCCTCGGAGGCCCCATCGTGGGGGTGGGGGAGGGGAATACTTAGCTGTCACAGCTGAAACCGCTTAGAGCCACGGCCAAGGGACAGCCACAGAGCTCTGGGTTTCCAGAAGGAAAGGACCAGGAGAAGCTCCGGGGAGGAGGTGCCTCGTGAACTGGCCTCGAAGGCAGACCTGCAGGTGTGTGGGGCTGGGAGGGGTTCCAGAGAAAAGGGGCAGCAACGGCGGGAGGGGCCCAGGCGGGACACAGAGGGAGCAGACGGGCTGACTTTCCTGGGACACAGGAGCGTGTTGGGGGAAAGAGTGGGAAAGAAGGTTGGGAACGGAGGCGACGGTGAGATTGCGCAGGACACTGGACACCACGTCAGGAACAAGTGCCCGAGAACCGAGGAAGAGGGGACAGGATCAGAACTGGCCAACCTGGAGCAAATCTCGGGGCTGAACGATCGGGGTCACTAAAGCAAGTCAGGGAACGCTCTCAGTTGAATAGTTGTGAGGGGCCCCCATTACCCAGGGGCCACACGACTTCCAGGGCGGACCTGTGACCTGTGGGAGAGACTGCGCCCCAGCAGCTCTGAATTCTGCATGAGCTCTAAACGTGGGCCACTTGGTGCTGGGCCCCGGGGCGTGGGAGGGGGGCCCAGACTGCGGTCGGTTTGAGCTGTCATAAAATCAGCAAACACCAGGTGCGGACAGGGATGGGCACACACCGCTGCCGATGCGGAGCCCGCACAGCCAGGCACCGGCTGAGAGGGAGAAACACTCACCATGTCCCCAGATCCGTTCTTCACGGTGACCCACGTATGGCTGTCGTTGCTCACCATGACCTTATAGGAGGTCACCCAGTCGCTCCTGAGAGGCAATGAAACGTCATTGGGGCTACACCCTTTAAAATGTTCACCTCTGCCAAGCAGAAGGACGGCGGTGAGCAGAGGGGGCGTAAATAAACAAAAGTTTTTCCATGGACTACTCTTCTAATTAAACGTTACGCCGCCCCTGCTACAACAACACTGCTATTTCGGTATTCAGACCAAAATCCTCATCGTGTTCTGCCAGACCCTTGCTCACCTCTTGTTTCCCGGCTCTTTCTTTCAATTCCTGATTCTGACGACACTCTCTCTTGCCTCAGGGACCTTGCACATGCCGTTCCTCCATTCCGTCTGGACTCCCCCTCCTCTCCCACTCCCCGTCTGCCTCTAACCTATTCACACCTCAAACATCGTCAGGTAGGGTCCTGATCCTCCAGCTTAACCCTCTGGGCCTTCTTAATGGTGATGATTGGGCGCAGCCATGAAGAAATAAAGTGTTAATTAATTAAACCTTAATTACAATTAAGAAGGTTGATAATCCAGGGGGATGGAAGAGATATCTGCCCATCAGTAAGGCTGAGGGAGGAAGAGTTGTGTCTGGAAGTTTTCTGCACGTGATGTGAGTGCTGCTCCTAACCCTGTAGTTACAATGTAACAAGTATCATGCCAGCCGCTGGGAACGCGAAGGTCAATTAGATACAATCTCTCCATTGAAGGTCAATTAGATACAATCTCTCCATTGAAGGTCAATTAGATACAATCTCTCCATTGAAGGTCAATTATATACAATCTCTCCATCGAAGGTCAATTATATACAATCTCTCCATCGAAGGTCAATTATATACAATCTCTCCATCGAAGGTAAGTTATATACAATCTCTCCATCAAATGTAAATTATATACAATCTCTCCATCGCTTCACGTGTTAATGAGAAAGAGAGAAAGCTGGACCCTGCAGGGCAATGGGGTTAAGAGCTGCGCTGGGGCAGGTGCGGGAGTTACCTGAGGACAGAGGACCTGTGTGGTTGGGGGCAGGGCGGGTGCTGAGCGCAGCCCACCCCGGGTCTCACGTAAGAGCCGCACCCCGGCATTGTTGCGAGAGAGCCGGCTGCAAAGATCCGGGCTCTAAAGTCCCCGTTGCCTGGTCTCCTAATCCTCAGGGAAGGTTAGAAATTCGCAGCCCTCTGTGGCTTTTTTCCATTTCCCTCCGAATGATTCTTTCCACATCACAAAAGCACCTTGACATTTAATTCTCTGTGACTGGAGATTTCAACTCAAAGCAATGCGGCCCCAGAAGTTTCTGTGTCAAAGGCTTTCTGCGGGGAGACTGAGCTGACTCCAGCCAGCTCCCCAGTCAACACAGAAACAAAAAGCAAACCCACCACGGCCCTGCCCCGGGGGCGACACCACACTTCTTTCCATCCAGCCTTCCCTCACACTAGGAACAGAGAAGGGGGGCCGCAAAGGGAAAAACTGGGACACACTCAGATATTTTAGTACCTGATGTAAATTTGGTTTAAATCAAAACCAAGAATGTCCACCATCAACAAAACTGCAGACTGAATGCTCACAGAGCCAGATGCCCGCAGTGTAACTAGACCCCGGTTACTCTAAAGCAAACAAGGTTTCAGACCATCGCAGGCTCGCAAGCGAGCAAAGGAAATCTCCAAAGGAAAAAAAAACAGGAGCCGTGAGCTGGAAAGATAAACAATAAAGAAATAAAAAGGATAGTGTTGCCTTAGGGGGAAATGCACATAGCAGTGCAGGGCTCAAAACGTTAAGCCTCCGATGACAAAAGGCAGGGAAGTTGAACCAGGGACATTTTCCTGGACCTGCGAAAGGGGCTGAAATGGGTTCAGAAGACCAGTGTCCACTTGGCTCCCGGGGAAGCACACGCACGAGTCCTCTCTAGAGACGAGAGTCTTCCACGGAGGCTCTCAGAGGTTTCACGAAGCTCAATCACATAGGAACTCACAATTTTAAAAAATCACTAAACACATAAGAAAATGTTCTCCATGACAAAGAAGTGGCAGAAACAAAGGCAACAAGCTCAGATCCCGAAGATCTTCAGTGTCTACAGAGAAAACTGAAAAGAAACTAGAAATATCATTAGACTTGATAAAAGAGTTCGACACAATGACTGGACGTGAGCCTACGATACAAAAATCGATCCTAGTTCTGTACATACCAGCCGTCAAAAAGGTCCTTAGAATCAAATGAGCAAAATTTGTGCATGATGTTTATGGAGAAAACCTTATTGGAAGGCACTTTAGAAGACATAAATAAGTGGAGATCTATACCATGTTCATTAATAGAAGAACATTATAAACACGTTGATTCTCACACACACAAAAATCCCAATGGCATGTCAAAGAAAACTGATAAACTTATACTAAAATTTGTATGAAAGAAAATAATCGCAATAGTCTATGAGAAGAAACGGGGGACAGGGGGTGGAGGGGACTGCCCTATTAGACATTAGAACTTATTTTAAAGCTTTATAATTAAGATACTGTGATATAATAGACAAATTTATAACTGAAACAAAATTGAGAGCCCGGAAACAGACCCAGGCACATCCATGAACTCGATAGAGATGTCTTCATATCAATGGGAAATAAATGAACTATTACATAAATGGTTTCAAGGCTGGATAGTAATATAAAAAGAAACTGAAACTGGACCCTATATTGCACAACTTTCCCAAAACTCATTCCTGAACGGATCAACTACTTAAATACGAAAGGTAAAACTTAAAACCTTAAGCTGGGAGAATATATTTTGAGCACATTTAGTTAACCAATGGATTACTACTCAGAAAATATTTTTAAAATATATTTTTCTTGATATTAGAGAGAAAGGGAGAGGGAGAGAGAGAGAGAAACATCGATCGGTCACCTCCCACACGCACCCCGACCACGCACCAGGACCGGGACCGAGCCCACAACCTGGGTCTGTGCCCTGACTGGGAACTGAACCGGTGACCCTTGGGTGCGACGCTCAACCAACCGAGCCACACCAGCCAGGGCTGTTACAGCCACTCTTTTGATTCCATCAGACGCTACACGGGAAAGATGAACCATTTCTCTGAACGCTGTGCAGTAGGCCCCCGACCAGGTGCTGCACTCATTTCCTGGGAAGGGCTGAGTGTGACGATGCTTCGTTCATCTCAATACATTTTAAGAAAAACAAAATCTCCGCCCTTCTCATTTCTTTTATACACACAACTTTTTCTTTCTTCCAAAGAACTATACTAACATTTCTAATAATAATTCACACGGCGCTTCAGTTTACAAAATGCCCCCAAACAGGTTCTTCCACTCGGGAGAACTAGCCCCGGCGTCCTTAGGGCCGTGGCTGCCAGCTGGTGGGCCGGAGGCACGCGGGGCTCGCGGCTCTGTCTCCCCGCCTGGGTACTCCGGGCCCCTCCTGCCGTCTTCTATTACTCCTCTTTCCGCAGCCTCTGGGTACAGACTTTCCATATCCCCGGGTCAGTCACAACACCTGGGGTCCTTAAATGCCCTAAGCCCCTGAAAACTCTGTCTTGCTTTCCCCTCTAGTAAATTGCTGGTGACATTTAGCCCGTCCTCACAATAGTTTTGCACACAGCAAATGGAGAATTGCCATCTTGTTTCGAGTTGCTTAGAGTGGAGTTTCCTGACCTCAGCCCTGTTGGCATTTGGGGCTGAATAGCTCTTTGCTGTGCGAGTCTGTCCTGGGCATTTCAGGCTGTTTAGCGGCATCCTGGCCTCTACCCACTAGACGCCCCATCCTAAGCCC